ATAATCGTATTCTTGTCCCTCGCCATCGACGGACTCTCGTTTTCGTTGTTTTAATGCGACCGTTTCGTTGACATGACTAATCCTTTCGTCTACATAATGTTTCGGAACAGCGTTGTCGAGCTCTACTAGATCAGTGATGTGAGTCGCTTACTGTAAAATGTGTTGCTTCCTCCGCTTTTTTCGAGACGATACCATCCCTCGATTCACTGGTGCGACCAAAGATGTTCACAAATGTTTTATTTCTTTCTCTTTATATAAGGGCATGTAAAACTTGCACTGCCATTGTAGAAACAATTTTTTTAATGTGGCGCGGTAGCACAATGCCAGTGGGCTGATGGCGTTATTTACTAGTACACAAGATTTTCACTCGCACTGTGATATCGCGACACATTGGAAAAATGATGTTTTAAATGAATTGTTTATTACACAGCAGTTATTGAAAAAATATTCTTTCGGACAGGGGCTTGAACCCTGAACCCTTAAGTTAAATGCCTAATTGCTCTACCGTCTGAGTTATCCGGACTGTCTTGGTGAGAAGTTTTTCCAATTAGTGCGCGCGTTTGCGTCGTGCACAAACGACATCCTATTTTACAGCAGTCGCTTCATTAACGACATGAACTGTGTGCGGGCTTCTTTTCTTCGTTTTTCTGTGTTCTAATACTGGTTGTTTTTGAGTGGACTGCATTGATAATATAGGCGGAGAACAGCAGTCCCGATACCCTTTGATAGCTTAGGGAGGATTTTTGTAGGATTTCTGGATTGACGGAAAAGAAGTTCTAGCACAACTGCATTTAATAATCACTGCACGTCATTTCACAGCACAGCACTTCATGTGCTGTGCATTGCATAGACAGCATAGATGGAATTGGTTGCAGCGCACGAATGGGGTGGAGCCCTACTTCGCACGAATTGATGCTACATTACGCGTGCTAGTCGGGAGCAGTCCGAGATTGCACGAAATCTGAATGTTCAAGTGGTCTGATGCAGAATACCTACACTACATAGACCGTATAATTGAAAGTTGCCAACTGGGAACAGCCCGAAGTTGGACAGTAATACTTTTACGAATGCTAATTACACGCTGATAGGAGCCGAAGGGTCATGTGACGTCACTAGGACGACCTGGCCAACGACCTTTTGCCGTCACCGGATATCGACATCGATTAACCACATCTGGTCACCGGATGTAAACATCCAGATATAAAATTTAAACTTCCGTCTCAGGCCGATTCCCTCTACTGGTGCTTGTGAGAACATGTTTGTGATGTTTATCAAGGATTGTTGATGTATAAATGCGTTTGGAGATGAATTTTCTATTGAGATGTGTGAAATAAATGAGAGGTAAGTTGTTATCCGTTTCGTAAACATGAAATGCAAAATTGAAATATATGATAATCAGATGAATTTTCTAAATTTAAGATGTTAATTCAATTACCAAACATTGGTTTACATTTTTCTCAAAATTAATATTGAATGAATCACTATTATGAAGTGAAATGAACTGGAATGATGACACCCAGAGAACATTATCATCAATATTCACTTACAAAACTTAAAATATACTGTGAATGTCAATCTGTGGGAATAAAACATCTAAAACAAAATTATGTAAACGCAATCAAATCGGTTTCTCAGTTAAAAAGAATGAATTCTATGTTGCAATGATAACCGATTGATTATAGAATAATAAACTGTCAGCAAATATAATGACTTATGAACGTTTCTCAAAAGAGAATACAATTTGGGTCATAGGTATATTGGTAACAAAATTGACAACAAATATTGCATTATCTACCTTTTAGCACATTGTCATCTTCATAGTAATCCCGTCGCATTTTAATAGTTTCCCTAGCGTCTTCGCAATGTATTTCTCTGGGTCTGCTTCTCGAAACGCGCTAAGCACCTTCTGGGATTCGTGCTGGATCTTCTCAAAAGAGATTAAAATCCTCAGCTCTTTAAGCTTCATCTTCAAGGGAAGGAGGAAGCTAAATATGGTTTCGCCACCGATAACGATTTAAAGTTATCCATGTAATGCTGATGGAGTTTTCGTGAGACTTCAACAAACACCGCCTCTACAGAATTCGATGTTGTGTTCATTCAAGGTCTTCCTGATCTCCGCTCTTGGAGAGCGCAAGGCACTCAAAACACCTCGCACGACTCATGGCACATTCACCATAAACTTGATGCATCGGTGGTAGATTTGCCACCGCACACAAAATTTCACCTTTGCTCTTTACGCAAGCTCGTCGTTCATTTTGGAATAACAAAAGAAATAGGGTCACAAAAGCACGGGCTGCACAGCATCCAATGCAGACAAGACGGTTAGACTAGAAAAATAAAACAAAAAAACGTAGACGAATCGGAAATAATTGCTACAAAAGGTTTTATTGTTCTAATTGTTCAATAGATCGCTGGCGATGTAGATGTCTTTAAACAATTAAATACTGTAAATTAAAGTTGTTGTCTGATATAAAAAAAAAAAATAGAATGCTAAAAATCGTTTCAATCGCGAAGCGGTCATCCTCAGAGCTAAAATAAAAATTACAGAAATAAAATGACATTACTAATGAATTACAAAAATGAAGAATAAGTTATTACAAAAGGTTTTTTAAAGTACACCCCGATGAAGACGACATGGAAACGAGGGGTGGTTCAGAATAGACTTAAAAGATTATGGATTTAGCGTTGAGGTAGAAGGGAAGAAATACAGACGCAACGTTGGGAATGTGACACCATTTCCAGGACAAAACAACCAAGCTTGAGTGAAAAATGCCATTCCTAAAGATATTTCACCACCATTGAATATGGAAGTATTTGTGAACAACTCTGACAACACCAAAACCGATTGATTTGAGTCTTCAATCAACTCTGGATCCAAGACCAGGAAGAATTGTGAAGATGCCTACAAGGTTGGATGATTTTACCCTTTTCAAATAGTTTTCTTCCTTTTTTCCTTTGATCATGAGGCTATCCCCTTTTTAGTAATCGTAAACATGAGTTTGTAACAATATCAGAGTGATTACTAATATTATTTTATATTAAAAAATTTAAAACAAAAGCGGAAGATATGTTGGTACACGCTGGAGAGTGTAGGGACTTGTGGGAACGAGGCAAAGTGAACGCATTGTAAGACATCTGGAATAAAACAGACTGAATTGTGATAAGTGTACAAAACTGTATTAATTCAATAACTACTATAACACCTGGAATCATATTCCGCCGGATAGCACTTTTCAAGAAATCGGTTGAAGTTTAAAGAATTCTTCCATTACGAGCTAGCAACCTATTTCATCTTACTGTTCGGTGCAGTTGGAATGAGGAAGACTCCCAAGACAGTGTTATATAACTTATTCGCACCCCTGAATGAGGTCAACCTGGAAGGAGCAGCTTGTCATTAATGGTGTATTTTTTCATCCGGTTATGTGGAAATATTCCAACTAATCCTAATCAGGAACGTTGACTCTCTAAAAAAACACTACAACTGTACTGTGACAAATGTGGTGTTTGATGGCTTACCAAAAGACCTGCCCATCAAGAGCATCAAATCTGCCGAGCGTCTCCGCCGAGGCAAAAGACTCGCTACTTCTGAGGTCATCTTTAGCGAGTTACTATATCAGCAAACATTTTTCAAAACCTGGAAGAGAAATAACCCTATCAAAAGTAGGTTATTTTCTCTCTCTGGCAGACATTAGAAGGCCACACATATTTCTCCAAGCCGCAAGTGGATGATACTATTTTAGCACTCTTCAAGAAGGACAATGTGATCAAGCTGTTGGTCAAAAATTAATGTCTAGAAGAAATTAAACTTTTCTTCGAGCCTGATACTCAAACTGAAGCTATTGCCGAAGCTGTTCTACTATTTTAACAACCCTATTTATTGATTGATTGTTAGTGATCCCGGGAGTGTCAACGAAGGTTGATCGTTATTCCCGTAAGTGTAGTGTATGTTTTCCTCTAGACGTGGCAGTGGTTTTCCTTCTCTGTATGGCGATATCCGGCACCGGTACACCATCTGCTAACGGGTTTTCCCAAAACCAGGTATCTTCCACCAGCGAAGCACCGGCGCAGCCGAGACAAGATCTAAGCTCCTGATATGCGTGTTAGTTATGAAGATGTGAGGATAGGACAAGGAAAATGTAGGAAAATCGTGTGCGGTCCTTTTGTTAGGGTACTGCTCCAGCATTCGCCTGATATTGATCGGAGAAACCACGGAAAACTACCGATCAGAGCACCCGGCTGCTAGAATTTTCCTCCAGACGGCAATTAAATCGACCCAGCCGACAAGCTAGTGTCGAAAATCCCGCCACCGTCGGGACTCGAACCTAGGACCTGTCAGAGGCTCTGCAGTGACGTCAGTTGATGTCCTGACCCATCTCTTCCGGTCCCTCTACGGAGGTTGGGCAGAGAGATTCTTTAAAAATGTTACGATTCGATCTATTTCCTAAACCTTCGTGAAATTCAAGTTCAAACGGGCATCCTTACCACCATTCGAAGCAACCCGCCAACATTAAGAACTTACGTACAATAACAAATGTGGTTAGGACACCAAATGGATCCGCTCCTCTGGAGATGGCCCCTATCTCCAAGGAACCAGATCTAGTCTTTTCTGTAAATGGAACAAGGGGTGTTCGGGTTGTGTGTGTCGGAGGCTGGGATTAAGTGATTTTTGATTTGTGCCTACTGCAGGGGAACTCTTGCACTAAAGGCTCATTCACAATGCAAACATATACATGACTTTAACATAAAAGTTAGGACTATGCCCATAAGCGGACTCATTCACTATACGTTCGCATAAGCATAACACTTTAACTTAAAAGCTTTAAGACATACGAAATTACAGAACGGTAACTCAAAATCGAGAATCGAAATTGGAGCGTAGTAGATAGAAGAATTAATGCCTTATAGGCCATGGACACGGTCGATACCTTGAAATCGATTCTCGCATCCAACCAATCGTAAACCAGAAGGTCTCACGGCCAATAGAAACTCTTATTTTGCTTACGTATATGTTAGACATTGTGAATACTTCAGTCTATCACTTATGTTAATGTTTACGTCCTAGGCTTATGTTTACGTTTGCATTGTCAATGGACCGTAATTCCCTCCGACGAAGACTTGGACTGCTTATAAAGAGCAACGAAAATTAGACTTTGAAGAGCATGATGGGACGACAGATTCAGAATCGGGTATTACTGACTTTGAGAAGCAGAGTGGCCCAACCACATTCGAAACAGACGTCTGTGAAATTCGTGTACATACCAATTTTTGTCCCTTTTCATCTTTACACCTTAACTACATTTTTTTGTGTAATATATAAGCATTTTTCGATTTCAAGGATTGTTTCTTATCCTGCCTCCATCTTCATATCAAATGAATTTCATATTCTATATACCATTTTTTAAATATTATTTTTACATATTCTATTACTGTAGAAGTGTTTATTCAGTTCAATATTAGTCCAACAGAGTGCTATACTGCTATGTTTAGAATATTAAAAATAACACTAATAGAACAACTGCAATTTATGAGAAACGATCCTACTTTAAAGTGAAGCTGTACAGACACGGGTCATCAAGAAAAGGCCACTTTTGGTCACAGTAAACCCAGAATTTATTCATCTATATTTTTTTTATGGACCAATACAATTGAGCATGAAATGCCTTAAAACTTTTAATAGGACCATTTGTTTGATATTGTGAATTCTTCACCTGATAAGACTGTTAAAATTCAACAAATTCAAGATTAAATCAATAGAAAGACCTGAAGTTGGTTTGGACAAAACAATCTTTGATATTTTGTTGTTTAACATTTCAAGCAAGAGCACATTTTGTTTGGAACAGTTATATCAGACTTCCATGGCCAGTCATGGGAATGATCTTGGCTGCCCAGGTGATGCCATTTTGAAGATGACATAGTATCCCCCGAAAATTGGTTCATTCACCACTATTTGTGGCCGTTTTTTGAGTATAAGGTATTATCCACAAGTTAATTCCCCCCCCCCCGTTGGATGTGATTATTGTGTTCAAAATATTTGTATCATGTACATGCGTGTATTAGCAGTAATAGCTTAGCATTGTAAAGTCCACATTAATCTTCCTGGGTACATACAGCCTCGATGACAATGATAGAAATAAATTTTCCAAAATGTTAGAAAACATCTTTTAGCACATTTTCTTGGCAAAGTGCCATGAACTTGCTGTCTCTATGATATTTAGGGTCATAAGGAAATTCTGTTTCAAAATACCTACTATGCAAGTCTAATAGTTCTATAGCTGTTTGCAATGACTGAAATTTTGCCATTGACTTACAAGATAGCCATGTTGCCTTTAGGTGTATGCAGTAACAAAGTATTCAATACAGTGGGGTTATTTGAACTTCTCAAAGACAGTATATAAAAGAATAAAAAAATATATAAATGTTATAAAAGAATGAACTGTACAAATAATGAATTTATTGCACACAATATCAACAAAATTAAATCACTTCAAATTCTGAATTACTTGCATTCAGACAAGTAATATCAACATTCTAAAACAGCTTGGAAAACAATTGCAAAATACATCTCTACTGAAAGAAACCTACATCACACTTAATGCAAAGAAACAAAATTAGGCAAAACTAGTTTTCTAACATACACTTCTAAAACTATCAATGGATACAATACAATTCATTGACCCTGGAAAACAAGGGTAAACAATCTTACAAACAAATTCTCACAATTTCATACCTTATTGAATCAGTTAACACAAAACGTTCATCACTCCTGCATGCTTGATTTACAGTAATATAGAGAAATAATCATGGAATGTACAACTTCAGCAAAATGAATGATGGTTTTGAACTAAATGAGTTGAATTTCAATCCTCACAGAAACAAAAATTTCCTAACAAAATCCAAAATTCATTCAGAAATATACATTGAAGTGCACAACTCTAGTCAGAAATGCATCTGGTAAATTTTTTTTTATTAAAAGTGTTTATTGTATTCATTACAATTAGATTATTTCAGTTTTATGTACATGTTTTAACTGAATAAAGAATAATTGTTTTCTTTGAAGGGCATATCATTCATAGGTTTCATTAATATATCATATTGATTTTAAAGTAAGGTTGACAGTGCAATACACTTTCCACATACACATATAAAACTAAATCACACAGACTGTATATACAAATTATTTCCCTGCACTCTTACTAATTTTTGTTTTATCACAAGCTTAAACTAAAATAATTTCTTAATAAATTAAACTAAAAATTACATGCACATCATTCATGATGATCTTTGAATGACACTTATTGTACTATCATCAAGGACAGATACAAAAAATCATTACAGAATCACAAATAATGATTCTTTTGACAATGTAAAGAATTGGTCACAAATCTACTAAAGTACATAGTCCCAAAAGACTCAAAAATCAATTTACTCTTTGCTCTATTCCAAAAATTGAAGTCGCCAATAAAAATAAAAAAAAATGTTAGGAAACATGTCAATTGGAAAAAAACATTAATTGCTATTCATTTACTTCCAGTGCTGAAGATACCACAATAATTTCCATGATCTCAAATAATGAATAAAGGTACAACACATTCTGAAAATAAACTTTTAAGAGAAGCATTTATATCCAAATGCTGAAAGTAGTAAATTCAAAAAAGTACTGAAACAAATCAACATACAAAATTGTACACTCAGGATAACCATTTTGAACACTTAATTTTATGATAAATTACACCACTAATAGAATTAGTTTACTTAATAAAAACAAAATTTGTAACAAGTTCATTCAGTACCATTAGATAATGAGATCCAGTTTAATTATTATTGTTGGCCCAATTATCAACTGAAAAATGCTATTGAATTAAATAGAAGTCCCTTTCCTTATGATGAAATACTGTTTTCCACCTTTTGAAAAAGGAACTACGGATTTTATTATTTTTATCATCTTTCATTATAACTAGCTTGATATACCAATGTGTGAGAGTTCTCTTTAAACCTACAGTTAAATCTTTATCCCCCCGCCCCCCAATACATGTATTAAACTTATCTCTCAAAACAGTACAAAGTCTAGTTAATTGGTTCTGGATTTCTGCACACTAATAAAACTAAAGCTGTGTTCATGGGCTGAAATAGCTTTATCAATATTGTTCAGCAGAACTTATTTATAAAAATCAAGTCAACTTTCCACTCCCATTATAACTGAACCTTGTTTCTCTATATCAAGTGAATCTGGGCGCATATTCGTCAATATTTGGTATTTACCATCTTCTGACAATTTTTCAGTGGTTTCTTCACTGTGAGGAGTAATAAACTCAGAGTCCAAATTTGTATGAGTTTCAATCAATTCTTCACTTGGTGATTGGTTTTCAATTCCAAATTCATCATTCATTTGACCAAATTCTGAAAACTTTATTGGTATTGTAGTGATATTTTCACTGAAGTACTGAGTCTCATTATCATCAAAAGACTCTAGTAGAGTATTATTAACAGCAATTTCACTCGTTCCATTTATTCCGTGTTTCTGGAACAAATGCCTTTGCTCATCACCGACCTTTATTGATGCACTTGATATTGTTACAAGGACATTTTCTCTTGGTTGAAATCTGTTTTCAGTGAAATTAGCGGCCAATAACTTTTGGTTACAATCTAAAGGAAATTTACTAAGATCAGGCTTATGATCTACTCTTTGCAGAATAGTTTTCTTTGGCATCTTTTTCATATAAGACTTCAGAACAGGCTGAATATCTTTACTTGCTCTGGGAGTTGAATAGATCTTTGTTGTTTTACTAGCATTTCTCTTGTCTGAAACAGCAGAGTTTTTGTCAGATTTCGCTGCAAATATTTTATCCATATTTGCTGTGTACATTTTGTTAGTCTTTTTAGGAGATTTTGTAGGTTTGGAGTCTTTGACTGACTTTATTACATAAGATTTTTCAGAGGTGTCAGAAATTTTTTTACTCTGATTGAATTTGGCATCCTCATTTGATTTAAAAGTGATTCTTTTCTCCAACCTTCTAATTAAAATCTTTTTTGGTCTGCCTCGACCTTTCTTAATTGGAGTGCTATAAGATGCCCCATTCAATTCACTATCAGATCTTATCAAGTTCTTATCAGATTTGATTGCCTCAGGACTACTGTTACATTTAACGAAAGCATTCCTCTCTAAATCGGTTGTAGTGGTAGTTTCTAATTTAATAACATAATTGTCAAGAGTTTTATTTTTCCGTTTTTTAGCAGACTTTGTTTGACTACTTATATAAGCAGCAAGTTTTTCAGAAGGCTGCCTCTTCCTATTAGATGTTCTAGGGAATACCAGATTTGATGCATTGTTTGGTGTTGTTTCATCTAAATGTTTAAGGGGAGAATGAAGCCTGTTTTCAGGCAGGGGCTCAGCTTCAACAGTTTTTTGATCTTCTGTACATGTTTGCACACCTGTATTTAACTGTACTATCTCCTTCAACTCAGAATCCGGTAATGGATTCTTCTTCTTTCTCCCTCTTTTCTTCTTTAATACACGACCATCTTCTAGCTTTGAAATAAAGTGAAGTGTTTTCATTTCACTCTTTCCAGGAAATTTAGGAGTAATGTAATGAGCAAGGGTTGGTGGTGACAAAGGATATTTCTTTGGTCTCCCTCTCTTCTTTTTTATAGACATGTTGCTGTTGGAAAGTAATGAAGTGGACTCCTGAGGTTTGTCATCAATTTCTTGGGATGTTGCCTGGTCATTTGGTGAGCTCAAAACTGAATCGTAAGATGGATTATTAGAATTGACAATTAATTCACCACAATGTGGATTGACTTCAATGTTTGTACATTCTTCTGCAAGTTCAGAGCTATCATTTGTTTTGGACTCTTTTTCATCTTGCAACACATCTTTACTATCATTACTGTTATTAATTCCTTTTAAACACATTTCCACATCCTCCAAAATTTCATTATAGGGGTTTGACACTGCTTTAAGTTCCAATTCCTGCAATATTCCACGCAAGGACATTTATTAAGACCTTATTTCCACTTATATCAAACAAAATAAAGGAAATGGTATCAAGAAAATTACGTCAAGACTCAAAACTTAACTTACTTCATCATGTTTTTGACACACCATGCCCAGTGAGCTGTTTAATCTAATATTACCATCTGCATGCTGAATGCAATACGAACGAGGACAAAACCCACAACGTTTCCCAGTGCGGCGCTGGCATACATCACAATAATGCCAGGGGCACAACCATTTTCCTGTAAATTAAAAATATTATTTTTTATGGAATTAAAAACATTTTCAAAAAAGTAAATGGAAAGCATTTTTTGTTATCTTCAAAAATAATAAAATAAAAATTCTGTAAAGATAATTATCACTTGAAAAATGTAATTCCTGGCAAATACCTTTACAAAATTTCCACGATATAACAACACCCATTAAAAGTGACAGCCAGTAACTCATCATCACTAGCATTTAGTTAAAGGTTCAATTTCTATGTTCAAGAAACCTTCTAGAATGATAAACAAGTGATTTTACAGTTCTTCTGCTTTACAGCAACATATTTTTTCATCTGATTACTCTGAGGTAGGTAAGATGTGAAAATGATGCACAATGGGACAAAATAATTTCCACAATTTAAAAAAAACTCACTCAATTGGTATTTTCACACACGGCAAATGGAGTGTTCTCCAGCAACTTGTTTTTGACTTACACTCATTAAATTTTTCAAACTACCAGTTAACTGTTAAAATGGTACTCACATCTGAAATTCACTCTTTCAGATCTTATCAATCCTTGGGTTTGATCTAGATAATATTAAAATATGTAACTAGTGGTGCAACATAATGGTACAGACTCTCATAGTACTAAGTTATCTAATCTCTTGATCTGATCTGGTCTAGCTTTTTGGTTTTGTGCCAGATGGGACAGAAGATTCTTGCCAGCTGCCTTCTATCGCCGGCCAAGGCGATTTTTTTTTTTTTTTTTTAACATTCTCAATTTTTTGTTTTTCTAATGGGAGAACTGAAATATTACTTTAAGAATATTAAAGAGTAAAAGCTTGTCCTAAAGGAAATTTTCTTTCAAAAATTTGGAGCTGTTTTTAAGAAAATGTCATATAAGCGTTATTGTAAATGAAATATTTAAATCTCTTTTTTGGAAATATTTTGGGTTTTTGGAAAACCTTATTGAAAGTCATTTTAAGCATTTCCAAAACCAACTAAATTAAAAAATGTGTTCGAAAATTTAGAGTTAAGAGTGAAAAACTGACTTATGACATTTTTATAAGAGTATTTTACTCTATTCTTTAAACATTTTTTTATTAACTTTGACCCACTTTTGAGAAAATTTTGAAAATGTCTCATGGTCTTCATGTAAACCACCCTCAAAAATTAATGAATGACAAAACGAGTTAGTATGCTTCACCGGGTCTAGTGCAACCACTGCGAAGTGTCCTAAACCCTATCCAAATCCTAAATCCTCCCCAATTCTGGCCGCAGAGTAGTGACGCAAGGGCGTGTGGTAGGAGGCGAGTACGCGGAGATGCTACTTGGTGGTCCTCTTGACAACTGACTGCGATGAGACATGACGGATATAATTAATGGAGGATTACTCCAGAAGCAAAAAGCGCTCAATGCCTCCAGGGCTTTACGCATTGCATCAATTTAAGACGCAACAAATTTAAAAAATATCAGTTTTTGGCGCAGCATTACATATCTATACTAGGTACTTGGTATATTACTCCTTATATACCAACGTATTAGTAAAAACTGAATAGAAGCTTAGGGTAGAAAAAAGAAATTGTCAATAATGTAAAAAAGATGAAGTTTACACATGAGCAGTATATAAAAAAGAAATCCAGGACCAGATTTTTGAGACACACTTTTTTTTTTATTTTCAAATATTTCCTTTTCATTAAAATCGTATTAAAATACTTAAAATTTTTAATATTTTCGTATTTTTATCCCAAAATATCCCCATTCTTTACAGTTTTACGTGCTGATGTCTATTTTAGAACCCTAGGCCACATATTTCAATATTAGAAAATTTTATCATTTCAGACATCATTTTTAATATTTCAAGCAATATATAAAATTTAACTAATTCAATGTTAGACCACAGTTTCTCAATTTTTAAATAATCAAATTTAGTCTAAAATGATAATTTAGTGTCTTATGAGATCTATTTTAGAACCATAGACAACATATTCAATATTAGTAAATTTTACTATTTCACACATCAATTCACACATTCAGTAGTTCAATCATGTGAGAGCTTAATTCAATAATATCCTGACATAAATGTTTTACATTACTGTAAAATATTCTAATTTTTTTATGTGTTACACATACATACAACGTTGAAACACATAACAGGTTTAACATGCATTGATCACACGTTATATCAAGTGCGATATCTCTGTTTATCTCTTTACGATATGTCTTTGTTTGCAAGTCGAATATCTTTGTGATTATATGTGCATCATTGATCAATAATAAAGAATATAAGTTGTGTCTGGAAAACCTACAGGTGATACAAAAAGTGAAGTTCCATACAATGTTCAAGTCATACAGTTTGAAGTATACATAAATATTAAATATATTTATGCCTTGGTTATATCGAAAAATGGTGAAGTAAATAGCCGAGTTAACACAGCCATTACGATTCAATAAAGGAATTTTTACGAATCAGTAAATGTGTTAAAAATATAGCCGTTTCCCTTCAATTATTCATTTAAAATTATGAGTTATATGGATACTTATTGCTTGAAATATAAAAATAATACTGACACACTCCAAATTAAACAGGAAAGAACAAAAAATGGAATATCTAGAATAGTTTGTATACATGCAGTTTGTAGAAAGAAAAAAGTAAATTTGAAGGGGGAAAAGAGAAACTATTATCGGGGAATTACATAAACATAGGCACTACAATTTTCCACAATGTAAAGTTGTAACATCAGGAATTGATGAATTATGGCAAGCAGATTTAGTAGAAATGAATTCAGGACAATTAAAAGGAATATCAACAAAAAAAAAGATATGATTATTGATGTATTTTCAAAATATGCATGGGCATTACCAGTTGAAAGTAAAACAAGATTAAATGTACGTACACCTATAGACAATATACTTTCTAAGAGAATACCCAAATAATTACGAACATTGAGGTAAAGAATTTTATAATCAAGATTTTCAACTTCTATTCACCATTATTCTAGTCTTTCAGAACTTATAGTGTCTGTAGATGATCGACTAAATCTTACATTAAAAGAAAAAAATGTGGAAAGTTTGATATTCAAAGAAATTATAAGTGGTTGAATATACTTCCAAAATTAATAGATGAATATAATTAAATAATCACATCATACTATTCAAGTGAAAATTATTGATGTCAATATAGTGAAAAAATCTTATTAAAAACTGTTTATGAAAGAGATGAGATGTTTATTTTACTGAATTTCAAAATTGGTGATAAAATTATAAGTAAATTAAAATCTGTACTTGATAAATCATACACTGGTAATTGGTATACAGAAATATTTAAAATCGCTAAAATCATGCATTACAACCTTACTATCTTAATGATATTCAAGGATCATTTTATGAATATGAATTAAAACAACAGAATATCCACATATTTAATAGAAAGTTAAAAACAAAAGGAAATAAAGTATATGTATAATGACTAGGATTTGATCAAATGCATAATTAATGGATAGAAAAATCAAATGCTGTATAATTTGGAGGTATATAAAGGATAAGATAAAGTTATATCTGGTACATATCTTGTTGCATCCTAAATATCTATAGAATTTTATGATTGCAAACCCAGCTAAGATAAAGAAAAATATCAATTCCTTCATCGATTTCGGTATCAATGTGTTTTTGTACCATCATCAATTTCAGTATTTTCATATATTTGAGTATCATCTCCCATAATTTCATTGTCTATTCGAGTATTATCTATTTTCATATCATCAGCATACGATGTTTGATTCGCTTGTACTAAAAATTCTTAAAATCTTTTTTACCATCTAAAACAAATATTTTTACGTAATTCAATTTAGTGAATGCATGAAATTCAAATTACTTAATCTTTTAATAATCTCCAATTATAAGATAAATAATTACCGGTTTTTGAAACATCCTTCACTTAAAATAACGTATATTTTAACACCATTATTGAGTTGATAAGAACACTAATACAGATGTTCTATATAAATGGACATTAATTGAATGAAGCTATATGCCTACTATGAGCGAAAAAGTGTTACAGGTGCTAAAAATTATGAAAGGAGATCTTATTAAAATTATATACGAGCATCAATACAAACAAATATTTAATTTCTGTGATGATATATTTTCATCTTTTCATCTGGAAATGAAATAAACGTTTATAAAGTTAAAGAAGAATGGAATAATAGAATTGTTGATTGGAGATTTAGTGATTTAGAAAATTATTTAAAAACAATGGCATCAGATGAATTAAAAATAATTGAAAAGAAATATCTCATGTTCGTGTCTCATTTGTACAATACGTAGAATTATATTATCTGGAGAAATTAAACATCTTAATCAGCATTTTTAATCTTTTCAACATACTATTCATGATCAACAATCAGTATATATAAAGATTCAAACCATTTTTTCAAGAAATTTTATCTAAATTTGATAATTATAATGCAAAAAATACTAAATATTGATTTGATAAAGTACCTTATGTTGATTTACAATCTGATAAATATGGTCCTTTAAAAGTTGGCAGCTATTTCCACTAGTAAATCTTAAATAATATTGCATAAACATACAAAATATTACAACAAATAAGATCAAATCTGAAAAACCAGAAGATTATAAATGTTTTGAATATGCTATTGAATGCATATTATTTCCATTCTCATCATATTGATAGACCTAATTGATAGTGTTTCAAAATATTAATTTTTAAACATGCAATATTCTGTAAATATTACACCATCAAATATCACAATATGTGAAGATTTTTTAATAGTATCTATTAATATCTATCAATTTAAAGAGTCTTGTATCCAATTAAATTATTATAGTGAAAATTATTTAAAAAAAGTAGAAAATCATTGTTTAGGTATAAAAAATAAAGAGTATTATTACATCAAATTCATCGTAAAACCAGAAATTACTTCTGTTGAAAGATTAATAAAAATTATTATGTAAATCCCCCAAATGAATATATTGATCAATGTATACATGATAAAAATAAGTTTTAAAATGCCTAA